AGCTTTGCAACACTCTTGCTGCCTCATGACAACACTCTTGTTGTCCGGTCGAGCTCAATTGTTGGAGGTCTAACACCTTCCATGTGAGTATGTGATTGATTATTTGTTGATTTCTATTTGAGTTTGGTTAGTTCAAGAATGCTTAGGTTAATAATTAGAATTGTTTTGACTTTCTAAGTAATTATTTGTCTAGTTGAATCTGAAATCAGTTGATAATTTTTTATATCAGTTTAAATGGTCTATTTGACTATCTAATATGTTAATTAGTTGATAATTTAGGTTTAGTTTATGTTGTTAGCTTAGTGATAGTTTAACTTAGTTAATTATAAGTTTAATTCTGATAAGAGCAGTAATTTTGGATAAAAAGGCAACATGTTTGGATATAAAAAAAAGGGTTAAAAGAAAAGTAATTTGCAAGAATTGAGGGGACTAAAAGGTACACCAAACTTAGGGAATTTGAGTGAAAATGAGATAAAACTTCGAGAAAGGGTCAGTTGTCCTACTTTGTTAAGTAAAAGATGCTGAAAATAAAAAAAAAAATAGCAAAAGAGGATAGATGTACAAATTGGTTGAAAAAAGAGATACTTTTTCTCCTGATTTTCAGCTGACGGATCCCTATATTCCCTCTGATTTTTTTTCTCTCACAAGGGTACACTCATTATATAAACCCATGCACATTCATTAAAAAGGGCAAAAGAAAAATCTGGGCATTCTGGGAGAAAATTGATACACTCCTTCATTTTTCCATTCTTAGACTCTAAGCTTTGAGTAGTAGCTAAAGTCTGAAGTCTTCTCTTGCATTTTACTGGGCTTCAAAGGATCTTAGTGGTTTTCTGCTGCTGTTTTGCTACTACTCACTCGAGCAAGTAGTTTGGAACTCCTATCTTTCGTCATTGTTCCTTATTTAGTCATTATTGGCTTTTGCTTTTGTTAGGTACGTCAAAAATTCAGTTGTAGTTCCCTTTTTAATGTAGAAATTATAAAGATGCCTGATTAAGTCTGCTTTTTGCCTTGTTTCATTTAATCTGGCCATTGCTTTCTTTGCTAAATGTTCGATTCTCGCTCCTTTTTTTTGAATTCAATGTTTAAGTCTATTTGTTGATTAGCTATTTGAAATGAATATTTTCATACTTGAAGATTCTAACATTGTTTGATTGCTGCAGTTAGTATCCTCATGAGAATGAGGTATAAATCTTGTTTACTGTTGATACTTTTAACCTATGAGGATGGAGTTTAAGCATGGAATTCAAGATGAAACCAGATGCATGAAGAGTCATGAAGTCAATTGTTTAAGTGTTGTTGGTTATCTTAGTCTTAAGAGTAGAGAAATTCAGTACATAGAAACATTCAGCAATATAAATAGATTTGAATCTTGATTTCAGTATTGTGTATAATTTGAAACATTCATGTGGTAAGAGTTATGGCTAATTTTATTATTCTTATGATGTATTGAGACGATCGTGTGTTGAGAAATTACTCATTCAGATATGGCCCACGTTGTGGTTTAAATTTCGATTGGGTATTGGGCTCCAGTAGAGTAAGCCCATAAGTAATTGGGAAGCATCATTTTATTTTATTTTACATATTTATAGAATAGAGATAATCTTCAACATGGAATAAACACATTTAGCCTCACTTTCAACTGATTTTGTTTTGAAAAATTATGATAGTTTGTTTAGCTTTGTTTTGATTAAACCATGACTTTTGGGCTATACAACCATCTGGGCTCAACTGTATGCCCTTCCAAAACCCATTTCTGCCTCTCTATTTGTGAAATGATTGGTCAAGTAATAACCTATAGTTTTGTTATTTCATTTGTAGATCCGCTTAAAAAATATCAACCAACTAAAGGAACTCATTCCTTCGAATTACGATAATCATTTCATGTATACTCAATCTTACCTTGCCGTGAAGTTATTTTTAAAAAAAAAACCATATATACACTCTACCCACATTATGCCATGTTGTCTAGATCGTTTCCACATGATTCGAAACTCGGGATTTGAGCAAATTAATTCATAAATATACGTAAAATGTTTTAGGCGTGTTCTAATATATTATCATGATTGTGTACACGCTCGCGCGACATAATTATGATTTTCAAAATAAATCAAAGTACGCATTTGCGCGGCTTTGGCCAAAATAAAATAAAGCGTGATTAATTGTGTACATGTACGTGTGACATGATTTTAGCGTCCCAAATAAAATAAATTTACACACATGTGATCTGTTTCAAAGATAAATCCATAACGCCATAATTAAAAGCGGTAAAAGATAAAATGCACATAGGTTCTAAAAATACGTAATTTAATTAAGCCAGGTATGATTAAAGTGACCGTGCTAAAACTACGAAATTCGGGAATGTCTAACATATTCTCCCGGGTTAACAAAATTCCTTACCCGGTCTTCTGTGTTTCACAGGCCTTTAGAACAGAGTCAAATTTCTTCGGTTTGGAATTTTTAAAATAAATCAGTGACTTGGGACACCATAATAATTATCCTAAGTGGCGAATCTAAATTAAATAAATAATCCCATTTTGAATAATGTCACTTTAATTGGAAAAACTCCCTATTTTCTCTGAAAAGGGAGGTGTGACATACCACAGAAATGAACAGAAAATAGCTTGGTAAACTATCTAGCGTCATCAAGGCCTCAGAAGACATAGTGGGCCTGTTACCGGCCTGTGCCGCAACAACCGACTGAACCACCCTAACTGGCTGGGCTATTGGAGTATGATATAGGGGATCCGCCGGCTCCGGGGTGTGAGTAGCAGGAGTATGTGCTCCTCCCTCAGCCCGAGAGACGACTGGTGCCACCGGAAATGCACTAGTCCGAGCCACACTCTCTATAAGGCCCACCAAGCGGACTAGAGCATCCTGAAGCACTGGAGTGGCTATGAATCCCTCCGGGAACTGAGCTGGTCCGACGAGTACGGTCTGAGCTGGGACCTCCATCTCATGATCAATTTGAGGCTCCACTACGAGTGTTGCTTCTCGAGCTCTAGGATGAGCTCTGCTTCGGCCTCTGGCTCGACCTCTGCCCCTGGTAGTAGCTGCCACAAGGGGCTCCGGCTGCTGATGTTGTCCGTGTTTCCGCCATGTGAGAGAATAAGAATAGAATGGTTCAATCATCAATGATAGAATAAAATCGCACAATAAAGAAAGAAAGAAGTGAAATTTTTTCTAAACTCCATAGCTTCTGGAAGATAAGTACAGACGTCTCCGTACTGATCCTCCAAACTATACTAAGTTTGCTCATGACTCGTGAGACCTAGGCAACCTAGTGCTCTGATACTAACTTATCACGACTTGGAATTCCCACCCCTGGGACTGTGATGATGCCTAATATTTCACTTGGCAAGCCAAAGTTAAATATAATTATTATCCATTTTTAATAATTTTCAAATTAAATGATAATGATGAAACTGAATAGTCTGAAAATAAGGTAGTAAGCTAATAAGTGATGATATCCAAATACAAAATTCCGAAACTTGTGTCACAAATACATGAGCGTCTAAAATACTACAGATAATAGTCTGAAATAAACATAACTGTCTGAATCAAAACAAATAATTAAAGGAGGTAGAAGGGGACTTCAGGGTTGCGAAACCTGCGCAGCTATACCTCAAGTCTCCTATGAATAGCTGGATCCGAGCAGGTCTACTGAACACTGTTGGGACCAACTCAGGTATCTGCATAAAAAATGCAGAGTGTAGTATGAGTACAACTGGCCGCATGTACTATGTAAGTGTCAAGTCTAATCTCGACGAAGTGGTGACAAAGCTAAAGCAGGTCACTTATGTAACCTGTACGCAATAATAATAATAATAATAATAATAATATTAATAATAATAATAATAATAATAATAATAATAATAATAATAATAATAATAATAATAATAATAATAATAACATAAAAGATAGAAATAAAAGTAAATCAGTTAATTCATAACAACGAACTCAAATCGAACTAACAGAGAGTCCAGAATAACCAGTCATATAAGCTCTTCCAGATTACCGAGGCCAATCCCACAGTCACAGGAAAATATAATTTTAATCAATTTTTTGTGGCGTGAAACCCGATCCCACAATATAAACTTTAAATAATTCGTTATGGAGCGCAACCCGATCCCACAAATATTATCATTTGTGAATATCATAATCCGTCCTTATTCCGCCATTTCAATTCATTACCTTTTAATTTTCGTTGTGGCGTGCAACCCGCTCCCCAAACAATTTCAAACAATAATAGCAATTGAACAACCAAGATTTACAAGAAGTTCTACATCAAGAGAACAAATGTACGAGCAATGAAGAATAACATGATAATCAAAAAGGACTCAAACTGCGCACGCAAATCGAGAAACGCTAAATGGAGCTTTTCAAGGTCTTGGTACACATAAATGAAGTCTAAAACTCAAAATGACCTATTGGGTCATCACATATTTAGTTATGGATATTAGCTAATAGCGATATAAATTTGTAGAAATGACACCAGGTAGCCATTGTAAAGGGAGTGATATTTAATAATTAGCCAGTGCGTCATGAATTTCAGTTTTTCCATTCAATTTTTCAGGATAAAAATATCATAAGTTGTCCTGAAATTAAGATTTTTAGTTTAAAACTTTAGAACAAAATAAGTACCGACTAAGCTCTAAATAACATCTCTAAAAATAGTTATATGTGCGCTTGCCCCAATAAATTTGTGTTAGCTATCCCATAGAGACCGTGAGATAGATAATCTCATAGTATGTCTCAGACTATAGGATATCCTATAGTATGTCTTAGACATTATTTCTAATATTACTACTATAATATTTATTCAAAATACTACCCAATTGCCAATATTATTATCAATATTCAAATATATTTTGTTACGAAAAGTATTTTCTACTAGCCAATTCATAAAAACTGAAAACGATTTTTCAAAATAGATTTCTATTTTAAGAAAACATTTTTTTCTTTTATGAGAAAATGACTTAAAATCAGTTAATTTTCTAAGAAAAGAGGTAGCTGATTGATAACAGAAACCAACCGTTTGGAGTTCTATGGCCAGTTCAGCTTTATCTCTTTCTGTGCATCAACCCAATTCCCAATTCATCTCTCCATGTCTACAATGCCGCAAAATTTGGAAAAACAATCCCTCTTCTTTCTTTTTCTCGGATGGAGATTATAAGCGTTCTGTCACTTGCTTTTCTTCCAAGAAAAAAATAGGTTTTATGGACCAAATTCTTGATTACATTGAAGGTTCGTTTTCGTTTTTATTTCCTTTACTTCCATACTTTTTTATTGAACATTAATTATTCTTTCACCTAGTAACTTGTATAAAATCAACAACTACTACTCCTCAATTCTAAACTAGCTGGACTTAATCGGCTTGTTAAATATTCAGTATCCGTTTGGTTCTATTTTGAAGATTCTTGCTTTCAACTAGCAGCTTGTACTTGACCAAAATTGGTAAATTTGATGCAGAAGCTACATTTTTTTCTAAAATTTTTCTGTGGGGGTGGGGTGACTTGGGGTAGGGAGAAGGTGAAGGGATAGATTTGGGGATCAACATTGCAAAAGGTATAGCTGAACTACCGCTTAATTCTCTATTGAAATTGTTGTTCAGTCTATATTTGCAGTTAATTGAATGCTGCAAAGATATCTGAAAGTTGCATTCTTTGTGTTATATCAGATGCTCGCAGAGAAAGGGCAGCCTTTATGATGTCGGAAAATATTGCTTGGACGGCGTGGCAGGCCACTATGGCACGACGTCGGCCGTGGCAGGCCACTATGGCACGACGTCGGCCGTGTCAGGCCATTATGGGCCGTGGCAGGCCTATGTCAATGGCACGAAGTCGAGAGTGGCAGGCCACTATGGCACGAGGTCGGGCGTGGCATGCCTATGTTAATGGCACGATGTCGGCCGTGGCAGGCTGCTATGGCACGATGTCGGCCGTGGCAGGCCACTATGGCACAATGGTTAAGTAAGAGCCAAGGAGCTACGGCTGAATCCAAGAGATTCTTTCTCCCTTGATCTATAGTCATGTTGTTCCTGGAAGCTTGATTTATCGGGTTCAACCGTACCTAGTATTTTGGAGACATATAAATAAAATTCCAAATCCATAATTTTCGGAAGTGCAATGGATGCAACGGTAGGAACTTAAAGTTTGAACCCTGACGTTTAAATTTTGGATCTACCTCGGCTTAGAGGAGGTGTTGGCTGATTGATGTTGTAGTAGCAATTTATGTTAAGCTGGAGGCAGAGGCGGATCCAGGATTTGAGGCTCATGGGTTCCTACCGTAATTTTAGATTAATATGCAATAATAACTGGGTTCACAGTTAGATATTTACAAATATTTAGTGAATTTCTTAATATAAATATAGGGTCTACGCAAAAGTTACTGGGTTCCCGGGAACCCGTATTGTATGCTCTAGATCCGCCCCTGGCCGGAGGTAGAAATTCAAGCTGAGTGCAGATGAAGGTCAAGCATATCAGCAGTGGATGCACTTAGCATATAAGCAGTGGGTGCACATGCGTCCACCTTATATACAAAATCCCAAAGAAAAGTTCTATAAAGATTAAAGGGGTGCAACCATTGCGTTTAAATTCTGGATCTACCTCTAGCTGCAAGAAGCTCTATTCTTTCACGTATTGGGTTTTGTTACAAGACTGTAAATATCACTAGTATCATATACATTCATGATTTCAGTGCAAAAAAGGAGAGGAGTCTAAAACCCGGGGAGTAAATGCTTATTACGCCAATCCTTCCCACTAAAATTATGTGTTATGATATGATGTAATCTAGTCCATCTCAAAGTATGCTGATCAAACAAGATTTCCTTTATCATTGACATTCTCCTTCATGTATGCTGTTGATTTCAGGGGGTCCGAAGTTAAGGAAATGGTATGGGGCACCTGACCTCCTTCCAAAAGATGGATCCCTTTCAAAAGAAAATGAGTCTACTGGTAGCTTAATATAATAGTAATATTTTCCATGTGATTCCTGCTGTAAAATATCAAATCAACTGTGTTCTTTTTCCTTTTCTCTTCCTTTGCAACAACAGAAGAAGATGAAGTCAGGGATGCAGTTTTAGTTACCGATGGAGATAATGAGATTGGTCAGGTTCGTATAAGATTCCTTGCACTACAACTGCATAAGTATCTTGTTTCCAAGATGCAATGTGCAAGCAGTGGACATAATTCATCTTACGTCACTTAAGTCCACTGAAATGACTTTGTCATACATCAGTTTTCTTTAAGAATTTTCCACTTCAATGATTCAGCATATTGCTCAATCTCTAATCTGTCTCATGCAATGTCAACTTTACTTATACTTGATCTTGGACAGTTGGTTATATTGTCTTTGATAATCAAACGAACTCGGATCAAAGCTCTGGTAAAGGATAAGCGGGTTGCCATGGAAGCTTTTGGTACTTATGTTGAGGTTGGTGGCATCTTGATGCATTTTATAGCTTACAGAATTGGTAGTATTTTAATACTTAATATTTGTTAGCCGTTATGAAGCCAATAGCAGGTGATGCAAAGGACAGGTCATTGCTAAAGAAGGCTCTAAGGGGTGTTCGTGCAGTTATATGCCCAAATGTATGCTCGTCCTTGTCATCTCCACTATCATTTTTTGCTATGAAGTATGATTCCCATCAAAAACATTTATATAGAAACATTGATAAGTCGAATTAAAATCTTGCATACAAATATATAATTCACCTGCTTTATTTCCTGGAATATGCTTCTGGTGTTTGGATTTATCTTGTAATTTTTGTTCCATCTTATTCTTCTTAACTTATTTATCTACTTTATTTCTATATGCACAAATATTATCTTAGAAGCTTTCTTATGTCTAAAGCTGCATTTGTAGGAAGGTTTTATATCAAATATAGAGAGTTGGAAAGGTTTACAACATGTGATCCTATTATCTCAGGTAATCTTCTCTCATATATGTCTAGGCAATGGCAATTTTCGAGTGGTTTATGTTTTGATTTTTTGATACAATGACATTGCAGCTGTCTGTTTATAGAGGTTCTAGTGGGGTTCAAGCAATTGTTACTGCCAATGCAAGGAAAATGGCAGAACAAGATGAATCACTGGTTATGGCTTCGGGAGTCCCTTACACTATTATTAGAGCTGGCTTATTAGTAAATGCGCCAGGTGGAAATCAAGGTTTTAACTTTAAAGAGGTAATCGTTGTATGCGTTGCTTCTTTATTAGGTAGATGGTGTCAAAATCGCCATATGTAGTCATTGGCTCTATCCAGATAAGCATCAAATCGTACATTCTTTCCCAAGGTTGAAAGCCACTAGCAAATGAACTCTAAGTTCTCCTTCTCTTTTCGAGCAAAGAAAATCTACATTATTCACAAATTGAAGAGAATACCAATTTTTCATTGTTCATGTCAAGAAAATTCCCTACAGTTGCTACTCAGCACAGTATTTCCTTCAAACACGAAGTACTGTGCCCATCAGACAGATGATGACCTAATAGCTAAAGTTTTGCTAATGACTCCTACATAGCCATAGTTGCCAGTTACCGCCGTTCCAACATTGCTATAACATAGTAGCTTATAGGAGATACTTAGCATTTGAGATGTCTTCAGTCTGGCAATAGAGAAAATAAGAATAGAACGTTGGAATTCCTTGCATGAAATGTATGATGGAATATGTTGAATATGTTTTCAGTAAATGGTTTCCTATGTTTCCGAGTAATTTGGCTTGCTATTTTCATGCACTAAAAATCATTCTCAAGGAGGGTGGTTCGTTAAATCAACTAGTGACGTTCTTCATTACAGGGCTGTGCATCACAAGGAAAGCTGAGCAAGGAGGATGCTGCTTTCATCTGTGTAGAGGCCTTTGACACAGTGCCACAGAAAGGCCTGATATTTGAGGTTTGTTTGAGCCATGCTACTTGAGTCGCCTTTAATATTCTAAAATTCTGTAGCTGCCCATTAAATAAATGTTTTAGGTAGGTCAGTGACTTGTAACTCTACTCTTGACGGCTAGAGAGGGTTGTCCTCGTGGAGAGGATCCTCCACCTCCAATCATGGGGTCAGGGGTTGTCACCAAGGGGGTAAAGTAAAAATTCCATTGTTGGACACTGCGGAAGAAGAGTTAGTGGTATGGCATTTACCATATTACAAAAAGAAAAAGAAACTCCTTATCCTTGAAAGCATGCACACTTAAAAAATATAGGAAAAGCATATAAGCCTGAAAGCTATAAGGAGTCTTCCTATGCATAATTGTGCTGCTAAAGGTCTTTGAGCTGGTATTAGCTGATGCTTAAGGGTGTCAAATGGGCGAGTTGGACTGATTTTGGGTGGGTCAAAATGGGCGGATGATTGTGATGGGTTGTGTCAAGATGGGCTAAAATTCGGGTCATAACCTAACGCGCCAAACTCTTACCAAGCTTTAATTTTTGGGTGTTGTTTTCTTATGAATTGTTTAATTACCAAACAAGACTTTTTTTTTCTTTTATTATCATCATATATAACATATCAAACAAAAAGGAATTTTTATAAAGATATTTTAGCAAAGTTGCACATGAATCAATTTGGCTAAAAATCAATCGAATTTTAAATGGGCGGGTCAAGATGAATTGAGTTCAACAATGGGCGGGTCAATGAGTGGCCCAACCTTGGGTGGATTGAATGGGTTTGAGCTTAAATTGTCACCCCCACTGATGCTAATGTTGTTTTGATAACAGTAATCATCCATTGTTGATCAGAGTTCTATTGGAAAAAGTAGTCAAGCCACTGCGTGTCTATTTGGAGCTTTTCACAGTCAAAATCAATTGGATCACATCTATTGGAAAAAGAACTCACATTTTTAGTTTTTGCCTTAAATCTCACATTATGCTTTGATGCTCAGAGATGCGATCGCCATAATGGAATATTTGCCTGCTGTGCCATCTGATATGTGTGTCCTAATTCGTTGTCGATGCACTTCTTTTCTCCACTGGTCTTGCTGTTAAATAGTTAACGTCTCAATATGTGGAATATCAGGTGGTCAATGGCGAGGACAAGGTCATGGATTGGAAAGAGTGCTTTGCAACCTTGATCGAGAAATCGGAGCTGTAAATTGATTGGATGCAAAATTGGTACATTCTTTGTTCTTGACTACAGTGTAGACATGATCACGTTTGAGAGAATTCATCATAATATAATGAAGCTGAAAATTTCGATTTCACCTTCCCATGGTTTCTGATGTGCACATTGATTATTTTCTGTGCGCAAACAATGCTAAAAAGTGGCATCAAAAGTCTCTTGACCAGTTGTAAAGAACTATAGAAGAAGGAAAAGGACATGGCAAGGAGTAAATTCTTATCATCCCATAAAGTGTAATTCCATTATCACACAAAAGGTTAAGAATCAGATTTAACTAGAACAACCCAGTGGATTTCCACAAGTGGGGTGTGGGAAGGGTAGAATGTACGCAGCCTTACCCCTACCTAAAAGGACAGAGAGACTGTTTCTGATAGACCACAGCTAAAGAAAAGATGACAGATTTAACTGAAATACAAAATTATAAACTTTACTAATAGATATACAAGGAGAAAACTACAAATCGCCAATGAAGAATCTTAGTTCAATTGCACAAGCAGATAGAAAAAGCTACAATGGAGCACTTAACCACAGAGTATTAGTGTCAAAATGTCACGGCCATTAGCCTAGAACTGATACCAACTATCAATGGATTTTTCACTTACACTGAGAAACAACAGGGTCAGCTACAAGAATCCTCGGTATCCATCGCGTTCTACTCAAGCCTAGTTATAAAGAAAAAGCTGATCGACTGAGAAACAACGAAAAGAGAGCTGAACTCCAATACGATCAGTCAACTGGACCTAATTCTCTTCTGACCGGTTTTCCATCTGATTGATTAGCATTTGTTGATTCACCTTCGGAGAAAGCCTCCATAGATATAGTCACAGAATTGGAGAGATCATCATAGAGATCAACAACTCTTCTAATATTGTTATTTAGCTCTCTAATTAGACCAACGTTTCGAGTCAAGTTATCTGGGATTGTAGACTCATGGTTTTGGTTGATCTCATTGATTAACAACCTGTTTTGATCCAAAATGTTCTGTACTTGCACAAAATTCTTTTGCAATGTTTGAAATACTTTGCGGTCTGCTTGAATTCCATTCCCAATGCACAAGAATATATCATCGTCCATTTCAATTATCACTGAATAAAATCAGCAACAGCTCTCAAATGCTGCATATAGAAACATAAAGTTATCTTAGACCAAAAAGTTACTCCACCCGTCACAATGTATGTGGCGTTGTTTGACTCGGCACATAGTTTAAAAAAGAAAAGGTGACTTTTGAAACTTATGGTATAAAACAAACCATAGATAGTTGTGTGGCTGATCATTCCATTAAGGGTAAAATAGGAATATTAATGTTAAATTTTTAAAAAATGAAGAAGTATGATATTCTTTTTTAGACAGACTAAAATCGAAAGTATGACACAGAAGTTGGGACAGAGAGGGTAAAAATTATAAGCCAAAATGCATAAGTTTGATTGAATTGAAAATAAACTTGAAAATGACGAACTTCAAGTTTCCGAAACAACAACATTTCTAGTTCAGGGTGATAAAATAAAGGGATCTTTACACAGATAGTTGGTTGAATTCACTGTTTACTTTTCCTAGCCGGTATACATAGATTATACACGGTTATATACTTTTTTTTTGATAAGGACACGGTTATACACATATTATACATATATTATACATCCCAACTATTTTTGGTTTAAGTGGTTATGTGAGCGGCTATTTAGGTTAATTCTTCTAAATCAAAAGCTACCCAAGAACAGGTCTAAATAGTAAACGATTCACAATACTTTATTTGGAGTTAATTATGTGACCGCCTTATCTAAAATGCTTAGTTGAAACACTAATTATCTTATTATGTCTTACCCTCAGCGATAATATACCCCTCACATTTCATAATAAGGTTGGCTAGTGAGAGTTGAAAGAATTTGAACATCCAATTCAAAGCTTTAAAACAATGAATGAAATAAACCTTTACATACCTCTTATACCCAATTCATATACGACAAGACAAGGAATATATTTTCAAAATTTATTTCGTCAAAATAAGATGAACATGTAGGGGAAGGGCAGAAATCACTGAATCAGAAAATTCAACACAGATTCATAGAATAAGAAAACGCGTGTATAACCCCAGAAATACCAACAGAGAAATATAACTGGAAAATTTCCGTCAAATGTTTGAGGAAGAGCGGAGAGGAGAGGAGAGGATTACCTTAAAATTGTAGCACATTCTTTACAGGCGAATTATGGGAAATCACGACCAGAGTATGAAGAGCTGGATTACCCCAATTGTCTGTTCGCAGGCTGCGGTCTTCTCTCTCGGGTTCAAGTTTGAGTGAAAAAATTCTATTAAGTGTAAAACCGAATTAGTTGCAGTCACTAAATAAATATATAAGACATCACGTGAAAAATTAAAAACAATTGAATTTTTTACACAGTATACCACCATACAAAATAATACTAGTCCCCAAATGTATTTTTTTAATATATTAATATATAATATTTTTTATATATATAATCTGTATATTTATATGATAATTATTTTTGACCGAGCAGTCAAATGTAATAAAAGCATGAAATTTGGTACAAGGAAAAAAAATTCAAAGAAATTGTTTTATGTGTTTGATTGTCTCTCTACCCCGAAGGGTAGGGGTAAGGTCTGCGTATACAGTACTATGACCTTACCCCAGATCTCATTAGTGAGATTGTATGTTGTTGTTTGATTATATTACAACAACAACAACAACAACCCAGTATAATCTCACTTAGTGGGGTCTGGGGAGGGTAGTGTGTACGCAGACTTTATCCCAGATCTCATTAGTGAGATTGTATGTTGTTGTTTGATTATATTACAACAACAACAACAACCCAGTATAATCCCACTTAGTGGGGTCTGGGGAGGGTAGTGTGTACGCAGACCTTACCCCTACCATAGGGTAGAGAGACTGTTTCCAAATAGACCCCGGCATCCTTCCCTCCAAGAACTTCCCACCTTGCTCTTGGGGAGACTCGAACTCACAACCTCTCCCTGTTGTTTGATTATATTAAAATATGAAATATATTTTTTGAAAAAAATATTTTTCCCACTAAGGTGTGTTTGGTAGGACAAAGGATATATTCTGGTAAGTTTTTTTTGGTTTCTCACACTCACTAATAAAGACAACTCCATACCGAGGGGCTCGAACCCAAGACCTCTGGTTAAGGATGAAGGAGTACTTACCACTCCACCACAACCCTTGTTTGGTATATTCTGGTAAGTTACTCTTAGGTATTTGGTGCTAGAAAATATAATATTCATCGAGAAAAATATATTTCAACAAATAGATGAAAATGACTTGCCTCATTTTTGAACAAAAGTCTTTTTTCTTCATAATTAAATCTTAACTTCAAGTTGCAATTCCAATCAATATTAAAATATTATTGTTAATTTTTAATACTAAAGAACTTCATCTAAACACTATCTAATTTGTTGTTAATAATAATAATAATAATAATAATAATAATAATAATAATATAATTATCAATCTTTAATAAATATTTTTTAAATTAGTTTTATTCACCAATTAAAAACCAAAAAAAATATTTTTTAAAAATAATTGTTTTAAAAAACAGTTTTTGAGAAATTCCTTGAAAAAGATAAGTTCCACCATTTTCTAAGACAACATTTTTCACATGATAATAATTTAAAGGAAATCATTTTCCCCATACCTAAGAGAACAGTTTGGATATAGGGTTTATTTGGTTTGAAAAATATTTTTTAATTTTCATGTTTTGTTGGTCAAAATATTTTAAAAATATTTCTTCTAAAAAAATAAATTCCTTAAAAGTCAAGAAAATGACTTTTCTCGTGAGAGTTTAGAAAATAAGTTTCCATAAGGTGTATCCTATGTTACGCAATAAAAGTAGGTATTTTTTCCCACTAGCTTTGCTTTGATAATAAAGTTATTGGGAACTTGATACAAGATTAGAGAAGAGCTGAATTGGCAAGCTGACGTGGCAAGTTAGTTAGGAGTTAGTTATAATTGTAATCGTTAGGGATAAGGAGAATCATTTTGAGTTGTTTTAGTTCTATAAATACATTGTAATCATACTAATTGGATTCATTTAGAAAATAAGATCAAAATCTTCTTTTCATTTCTATTTCTTCTTAGCTAAAATCTCGGAGATTCCCTGTTTAGCTACCAATGTTCTTTGAGCTTGGGCTCCTAGTTTATTTATACTCATTTCCAGTCCTTATATTGCATTATTTGGTATCAGAGTTGTCGTTCCTTGGCATTAACATGGGCAGAGATAAGAATCAAGACAAACCTGTAGAAAGCATGGAAGGAAAATTCTCATAAATTCAAGATCAATTACAGAAGTTGATGGAGGGATTGACCAGTATGAATGCGCAAACATATAAGGAATTGCTCGAGATAAGGAGGCAATTGGGATTATCAAGCAGCAAGATAAAAGAATAACATCCTCATTTGAGGGTGAATCGTATGAGTCGTTCTAAATAAGTCCAAACTAGTTCTGCTCCATCTGGTAATAGTTTTTCCACTCGATATTCTCAACTTGATTTCTCTCGATTTTTTGGATATGACTTGAAATCCTGGTTGTATAAGGTGGATCATGTTTTTCTATGGAGGAAATTGCCTTTGAGGAAAAGGTAAAAGTCGTTTGTATTCATTTTGATGGTGATGTTATTGTGTGGCGTAGGTCGTATATGAGATCTAGAAATATTGATATATTTCCAACTTGGACTGAATGCGTTTTAGCCTTACATGATAGCTTTGGGGATGTGTTTGAAGATCCTATGGAGGTTATTAAAAATCTGAGACAGGTTGATACTATGAAGGATTATAAAACTGAATTTAATAGACAGTTGAATGAAGTTAATATGTCAACTGAAAATGCTATCAGTTGTTTCCTTGGAGGATTGAAACTAGAACTTAACAAGGCTGTTAATTCAAACACCTAGAACACTTATGCAAGCTTACAAAATTGCTAGATTGCAAAAAGGTGTTATTGAAGCACAAGCTCAGTCATGGGGTCTTAAACCTGTTAACATGTCACATAATTCCATGCTACCTACTTCGCAACATGTTAAACCATAAGATTTCCAAAAGATTCCTTTATCAACTTCAGCGTTTAAAAGGTTCATCGACTCTAATTCTAATATTCATAGTAGATCTTCTGATAACAATTATGGTAGGAGGTTATCTGCTAATGAATTGGATGAAAAAAGAGCTAAAGAGCTGTGTTTTTTCCGTGATGAAAAATATGTTCAAATGTATAACTACAGGGCAAAGAAGTAGTTATTTCTAGTGGATATAACTGAGGATGACACAAGAGATGATGAAAAACCTATTGAGTTGGTACAAGAGACCATGGAAGGGATTGATGAGTTTATGACTATCTCCTTACAGGCATTTATTGGAGTTAGTGGATATCAAACCATCGGAGTAATTGGCTATCATGAGAAGAGCCCCTACATATATTGATTGACACTAGAAGTACTCATAACTTCATTGATCAATCAGTAGCCAAGAAATTGGGATGTAAAGCTGACTCTATAGTTGAACAATCTATTAGTGTGGCTGATGGCAGGAAGATGCAAACAGTTTCTGTATGCAGGAATTTGCAGTGGCTATTGCAAGGTACTACTTTTTCTTCAGATTTCCTCCTTTTACCTTTAGGCAATGTTGACATAGTCCTGGAATTACAATGGTTAAGCACATTGCGGCAGAATCTTGTTTGATTTTGGAAACATAACTATTAAATTTATATATCAGGAAAAAAAATATGTGTTAAGGGGGCTTAGTAATCAATTAAAATCAGCTAAATCAAGGGCCATGATTAAGAAGGGTTAAGAAGATAACCAATTTTTTATGTTGATAGTAATTAATAGTGAGGAGGAAGACAATCAATGCCATAATATACAAGCTGCACAAAACAAGGAAGTATCTCCAGCCTTGTCTATATTGATGAATGAGTATTCTAGTATATTTGACATGCCTACCACATTACCTCCTCATACAGGGTCCTTCAATCACAGAATACCTCTAATAGAGGTTGCACCTCCACTAAATAAAAGGCCTTATAAATATCCTGGAGTTAAGAAGAATATCATTAAAAAGTTGGTACAAGAAATACTAAAACAAGGGGTAATACAACATAGTACTAGTCCTTATGCTTCTCTTGTGGTGTTAGTAGGTAAGAAATATGGGAGTTCGAGGCTTTTGTGAATTATAGGGAACTTAATCAATTGACAGTCAAGGATAAGTTTTCCATACCCATAATAGAGGATATTCTTGATGAATTGGGAGGTGCAGTGGTGTTTTCAAAGATAGATCTCAGAGCTGGTTAGCACTAGTTGAGAATGACAAAAGGTGATATCCACAAAACAGCTTTTAAAACTCATGAAGGTCACTATGAATTCTTGATTATACCTTTTGGCCTAACTAATGCAACATCTTTCTTCCAAAGTCTCATGAACTATGTTTTTAAACCATTACTAATAAAATCAATGTTGGTATTTTTTGATGATATACTGATCTATAGTAAGAGCATGACTGGTCATATGGTTCATGTGAGAGCTGTCTTTGATCTTATGAAGAAGCATTGTATGCTAACATGTCAAAGTGTGCCTTTGGGGTACTTAAGGTGGAGTGTCTTGACCATTTTATTAGTGATGAGGGAGTCTCAACAGATCCAAAGAAGATTGTAGCTGTCCAGCAACAGCCTGTTTCTAGTAATATTAAACAGCTAAGAGGCTTCTTAGGCATTCAGGATATTACAGAAGGGTTATTAAAGGGTTTGGATCCATATGCAAGCCACTACATCAACTACTTAAGAAGGATGAGTTCCTGTGGACAGTAGAGCCTACAACAACTTTTGAAAAGCTTAAACAAGCTTTAATATCTACACATGTCTTAGCAATGCCTGACTACTCTAAGTCATTTGTGGTAGAGACAGATGCTAGTAGAACAGGTATTGAAGCTTTCTTAATGTAGCAAGGGCATCCAATAACATATATCATCAAGTCATTAACCCCTAGATATCAAGCTATGTTTGTCTACGACAGGGAGATTTTGGCATTTATCTTTGTTATCACTTGGTCACACTACTTATTGGGAAAACATTTCATTGTTAGAATCGATCAAAAGGCGTTGAAGCATTTATTAGATCAACATATACATACTGATTTCCATGTGGTTGGTATTTCTAAATTTATAGCTTTTGACTTCTCCATTGAATACAAAAAGGGGGTGGAGAACAAAGCTGTTGATGCCTTGTCCAGGAAGCCTAATGCTAAATTGTTGGTCATTTCCTTATTAACATCAAATGACTCTTTATTTGAGTAAATTAAAAGCACCTAGTGTACTAATGCATCTATCTCTATATGAGAAAATTGCTAAATTACAAGTGCAACCATTCAAGTCATTTACTTGGAGTAATGAACATTTGAGATAGAAGGGTCGATTGATAATAGGAGATGATCCACACTTGAAGAAAACTATCATTGCATTATGGCATGCTTCCACTCAAGAGGCCATTCTGGTATAGATGCAACTATTAAGAGACTTCAATCATTGTTCTATTGGAAGACTCTTATTCAAAGTACTAGATATTTTATCAGCAAATGTGATGTTTGTCAAAGACATAAATGTGATGCAACTGTTTCTCCTGGCTTATTACATCAATTACCAATTTTAGATGGGGTTTGGACTGATATTTGCTTAGACTTCATTGAAGGCTTACCTACATCTAAGGGTAAAGATGTGATATTAGTTGTGGTGGACAGGCTGAGCAAATATTACCACTTCATGAGTCGGTCGCACCCTTATACTGCTCAGTTTGTGGCTCAGAGTTTCCTGAATAATGTCTTCAAGTTGCATGTTATACCAATCTCTATAACCAATGGTAGGCATTTCTCAGCACTTTTTGGCAGGAATTGTTCACCTTACAAGGAGTTCGGTTACAAAGATCAACAGCCTACCATCCACAGACAGATGGCGAAACTGAGGTCTTAAACAGAATATTAGAGACTTATCTGGGATATTTTTGTTCAGATAGTCCCAATAAATGATCTTCTTATTTACCCCTTGCTGAGTGGTGGTACAATACCATATATCACATTGCCATTAAGTGTACTCCATATGAGGTTTTGTTTGGTCAGAAACCACCAACCCATCTTCCTTATCTGTCAGGTAAAGCTGCTAATGAGATGGTGGATAAAACTCTAGCTGCTCGAGAAGCTATCATTCAACTTTTGAAATTTCACATTACAAGAGCTCAACAAAGAATGAGAGATCTAGCCAACAAACATAGATCTGACAGGAGTTTTGAAGTAGGTGATTGGGTGTATTTGAAGTTACAACCTTATAGGCAAGTATATGTAGCCACCAGGCCATTCAACATTCATCAAATTAGTGGCCAAGTACTTTGGTCCTTATCCTGTTGCTGCTAAGGTTGGTGTAGTTGCTTACACATTGTTACTGCCTACTGATGTCTTAATTCATCCTACCTTCCATGTTTCTCAACGCAAAAGGTGTTTAGAGATTCCAGATATCAATAACCATCCTCGTGTATTCTACTTATCCAGCCCATATTATCCTATGCCTGAAGCTATACTACACAGAAGATTGGTTAAACGAGGTAACAAAACTGTTTGCCAGGTTCTTGTGAAATGGACTGGCATTGATGTATCATGATCCTAAAACCGACCCGGTCGTGATGGCGTCTATCGTGAAACTAGGCCAGCCAACACAACTCCCGAATTAACCATTTAATCAATAACAATCATTTTTAAGCCTTTAGTTAATCAGATATCTCATAATGTAAGTCTAAATGAACAGTGCAGAATAAATACACAAGCCCGACATCGGGGTATCATAAGTCACGAGCTTCTACTAAGGTCTGAATACAATGAAGAGTCTGAAAATATATTAAAATAATTTAAGGAAGACAAGAGGGAAAAGAGCAGAGTTGCGAACGTCGGGCAGCTACCTTGCTAACTCTGATGACTCTACCGCTGAGCAACCAACACCCGCTACCGGGTTCAGAAATACCTGAATCTGCACACACGGTGCAGGGAGTAATGTGAGTACGCCAACTCAGTAAGTAATAAAAGTAAATGAAAGCTGAGCAGTAAGAAAACACGTAAACCACGTCAAAACGCTACAACAAATGCAGGACATTTCCAACACAGTACAGAAATCATTTACTTCGTAAATCATGCTCAGTTTCGGTAAAACCTTTTTTTTAAAATAATTTTCAATAGTTTCAAACGAGTGATAAAACAGTGAGTAAACATGATAAAATTGTAAACAACCCCTCGGGCAAAACATGTACCATAAACCGCCCCTCGGGCATAATATCAACAGAACCAGCCCCTTGGGCTACCTCACAATCACTCATATTCAGCCCCTCGGACATAACATAAATCAAGAACCGCCCCTCGGGCAAAACATGGATCAAGAACAGCCCCCCAGGCAACAATATGAAACAACAACAGCCCCTCGGGCAACATCATATCACTCACACTGGGTACCCGCGCTCATTAGGGGGTGTACAAACTCCAGGAGGGGCCCCTTACGGCCTAAGCGCAATAACAAGCCATCGCGTGGCGTAATCAAACAGGCTCTCGGCCTCATATCAAGCCACCTCGTGGTGTAACAAATCAGGCCCTCGGCCTCATAATCATAAATCAGTACCACACTGTTGCGGCGTGCAACTCGATCCCATAATATCCTCACAACACAGGCCCTCGGCCTTACTCAGTCAGAAATCTCTCAAGCCACTCGGGCAATAGTAAAAACATGATGCTCAGCCTAAAATATCATTTAAAAATGTCAAAATGTAGTAAATATGGCTGAGTTATGAAAACAGTATAATACCACATGGTTGAGTATAAATATGAAGTCAAAACAATGAGGAATAGTAGTAAAAATCTCCTAAGGGTCCAAAACAGTTGGCACGAGGCCCAAATATGACATTCAACCCAAAACATGGTAATAATTTCCAAAATACAATGATAGCAAATGGTATTCAATCAAATACGCGGTTAAACAGTCATACGTGACGGACTAAGTCACAATCCCCAATGGTGCACGACCCCACGTTCGTCATCTAGCGTATGCGTCACCTCTAGTAGCACAACAATGTGAAATCCGAAGTTCCATACCCTCAAGACAAATATTTACAATCATTACTTACCTCAATCCGGTCCAAACTCTAGCTCGCGATGCCCTTGCCTCTCCACTCGGTCTCCAAATGCTCCAAATCTAACCAAATACAAATTTATACCATCAAAATATACTAAGGAAACAAAGCTCACTCGAAAATAACCAATTTACATCAAAAATCCCGA